GCCTGGGTGTTTCAGGAGGCGGCCTGGTGGTGGGGCAGTGGCTCAAGCACCGGCTGTAAGTTGCCCACCAGCCACTCGGAGAAGTAGGTGTTGTGCCTGATGAGCCGACGGGCTCCTGGCGCAACCATGTGCCTACCCAGTGTCCACGCCTTATGGACGCAGATCCTGCCACCAGTGAACTGATGCGCAGAAAACAGGGAGGCGTAGCTACCTGTACCCCTCAGTGTCCCTGAAGGGGTACTGGCTGGGGGCGGGGACACTTGGCCCACAGTGACCGTGGACCAAAGAATGCCAGGGCCCCCTGGGTAGCCCCGGCTGCTGCCTGGGACCTAGCATCACTGCATTTTACAAATCAGGCCTGCTCTCCTGGGTAGGCTGGGAGTGGCATTACAGAGGCTTTCGGTGATAATTATTCTTTCTCAGAAGGTCAGGGGTAGCTTTTGCTGGAAGGTAGTGTGTTATGGAAATTTCTAAACATAGATAGGTTGAGAAAATGAATCAGCAGTGGCGGGGGCAGGGGGCGGATGCCAGTAGCCGCCCACTCCTGAGAGCCTACAGCTGCCTTTGGGCACCGGAAATATCCGTCTGGCGACTGTGGTGCCCCTTTGCAGTACATCTCATCACTGCTTTTACCAGAGAAGCCCGAAGAGTACTAGGTGGCCCTCCACCCACGGGCCTGGTGCAGACATCACACAGCCTCTCACCACCACCTTTCATAAAGGTTGAAAGCAGAAGGTGGTCGTCCTGATTTAATTTGCATTCTTTAAAAAGTCAATACAATGACTCACTTTTAAAATGCTACTTTCATTGTGAAAATGACCACGTGATAATTGAAATAAAACACTGATTTTTTTTAAAATACGCTAAATAACCCAGCTGTGGAAAATTCCTGTGGGAGGTGTTCATTTTTCTACAAAAGGGAATAGGTTGTTCCATTGTAAATTCACCAAGATGCTCAATTCCAAGACCAGCCGCTGCTGCTCACCCTGACGGATGCACACGACACACGGACGCAGCGTGTCCACCATAGGACTGACGACTGCATTGACGTTTTCCCCACAGGTCTGAAAAAGACCCGCAGTTTAAGTTCATCTACTTCAACCACATGAATTTAGCCGAGAAAAGTACGATTCACATGAGGAAAACGCCCAGCGTGTCACTCACATCGGTCCATCCCGATCTCATGAAAATTCTCGGAGACATCAACAGTGACTTCACGAGGTAACCTCCACCTGACCTCTAAGCCCCTGTGCCTTTTCTGGTCAGGGAGCGTGCATACAGGGCCTCCTCCACGCCACGAGGTCCAGAGCCCCTTCAAGGACTCGGCTCCTGCACCTCTATGGCATTACTGTCTGGGACTCCGAGCTCTGCCACTGACTGCACTTCCCCGCTCTTACAGGATGGTTGTTTGGTTGGTTGGTTTTCACAGCTGAGCATCCATCTGAACAGCTGCACCTGCCCCTCCTGTCTTCCAGGGTGGACGAAGACGAGGAGATCATTGTGAAAGCCATGAGCGATTACTGGGTTGTGGGGAAGAAGTCTGACCAGCGGGAGCTCTATGTGATTTTGAATCAAAAGAATGCAAACCTGATTGAAGTAAATGGTACGTAATCCTTGGGGCTGGGGCGGAGTCTCAGTGCTGCAGGTACTTTTTTTTTTTTTGAACATTAGGGGCTCATACAACTGTTATCCCAATCCATACACACATCAATTGTGTAAAGCGCATTTGTA